TGACTCGTAGTTCAGAGCAGTGAAATACTTAATTACTTTCCGAACGAAAGTTATTATTAATAATAAAAAGTTGATCATTTAATATTTATCAATCTTCTTCTGAAACGTCAATGCAAAATATTAATTCAAAGTCAAGACTAGAGAGTACAAAGAATAGTGTTTGCCCCACCTTTGCAGAAGAATTTTTTAATATCCCGTTCTTGGCAAATATTTGTCTGGAATTAAGAAAGTGAATTTTATTAGCAACCTTACTTATGTTTTATTATCAGGTTATAGGTCGTTTGGAGTTGAGAAGGCGTCGTATCATGAGGAACAAGAACTCAGAATGTTGAAATGGTTGATAAAATATACAAATAAGAAAGTGAAACGAAACGAGATAAAAATGTTTATTCTACCGGGTACATTTTTGTGTAAAGAACATTTCAAGGATAATTCCTAAAAGAAAGCATGAATTCAAGGAATTTTCTTAAGAGAGTCTATGTAAAGAAAGTTGGTGGTGAGCAAGAGTAAGGCGTATTTTCTATGCCATATACGTCTATTAGACAGAGCGCTAATTTTACCGTCCTATCTCGACCTCTGCCCAAAGTGAAAGAGATAGAGATGTCTCCTCTGTATTCAACAGTACGCATACCCCAGTATTTTTTATGCATGCCCAAAAGCTGAAAAGGTGTTGCTACTTTTGGCAGTGATATCAATACATTCGTGTCTAGCAAAAGGTTTAATGTCTGCTACAGGGCTCTCTGTCTCTGATGGCGAATATAGTCATCAACCAATCAGTACCTAAAGCTGAAAAAGGCTGCTTCTGATGGCGGAATTGTCACCGCATGCGTCTCTAGCGAAAAGGTTTCACAAATATGAGAAAGGATTGAAAATGACAATAATGATATGAACATTCAAAAATTGAATATGTTGATTTTTTTTTAAGCGTTTCACCCCAAGCAAGGCAGGAAGCCACTAGCACGCAGATGGGGATAGATCAAGGCATCTGGAGATGTCGATTGACATTACATTTGAATAGTTGGAGATTATAGCTATCAGGGAAACAAGAAAAGAGGAGGGAGTTCCACAGGCGAGAGGTGCGAGACATGAAGCTATTGAAGTAGCAGAGACGGCTACATTTAACAGTTTTGACAGTGAAAGGTTGAGAGCGAGATGCCAGCCTAGTAAAACGCTTAAATTCATGAAGTCTGGGAACCAGCGAAAGCAGCCCATCGGAGCAGTTACCGTGAAAGTATTTTTAAACACGACAGAGGGAAGTAACGGCACTTCTGTGAGAGAGCTACTGCAGACGAGATGCCAGATCAGGGCCAATTACATTGCATATCCGTCTCTGGATCTTATCAAGAACCTTGAGACAAACATAAGGGGCACCAGACCATATATGACGGCAATACTCCATAACAATTAAAATGAAGTTTAATGGTTTAAATATTAACTTTTTAAAATTTAAATTTTCACGAGGCAAAAGTGGTATATCTGTATGTTATATATCGAAATTAATAAAGAAATGTATCATTGGTCAGAAAATAATGAAACCTTTACTGAAAGAATTGACAACATATGAGTCTTCTGACAGTTTTGAACCCTTGGAACATCAGATGTACTGTGGCTATAGGAGCATTGGTGTCTCTAGGGGACGATACATCCTGTTTTTGAATTCAGAGTTTCCCTTCTCCTATATGTGCTATTTAACCCATACCTGGAAGAAGGTGGAAACCAGAAGTTCGAATTCATTTTCAACGCCGATAACCTTCACACTATCTGCATCTCCTTAATGAAGAAATAGGACTAATATATGCTTATGCTGCTAAAACATTGGTCCACTGTATCGAGATGAATCATTTGTATCTCCCAAATATACCTTCTACTTTTATAGGTTTACCATTCGCCTATGCATAGCATATTGCTGCCACAGCTTTTCTTTAGAGATCCTTGAAAAAATCTAAAGTACGCAATGTTATGGTTCCTGACCTGGCATCTCGGAGTCAGTCACTTTCCCTACGCTATAACGTAACTTTTCCGTGCCTGTTCTATAAATATCTTCATGACAATTGTTCTACTGAAACTTTTCTCCTTGGTACTTCTACTTTATGAATTTAAACGTAATTGGCAGCTAGGCCTCACCATTTTGCTGTTGAAGTTGTGAGATGTAACCATAACTTCTATGCATAGAATATACAGTTGCATATAGGGTATTTCAACTGTAAAACGAGGAGACAATATATTACTGCGCAAACATTCGTAATTATGAGGGAATAGTTTTATTATATGTACAATATAAGTGCATTGATAATAAGTTATACACATGAATGAACTGAACATCAGGAAGAAAGGGATTATGACAATTATTAGTGATATATATATATATGTGTGTGTGTGTGTGCGTGTGTGTGTGTGTGTGTGCGTTTATCCAGGTAAAATGAGACCAAATGGGGTATAATTCCACTCTACGTAACATTTAATTTAAAAGAGGGCTGAATACAGAGTTAAATAATATTTATTTTAGGATACTAAAACATTTTAAAAATCGCCATATAATCCATAATGTTTCAACACTTCGAATGTGTCGCCTCAAGAGATGTTAAACTACTGGCGAGTGAAAGATTAATTTACTTTCCAAATTAGAATACTTTTAAAAAAAAAAATAGGCTTTTTGGCTTTGCTTTGATTAAACAATCAAATGTGACTTACACTAAATTGAAATTCACCGGAAAAAAATTAATAAATGTCATACGAGGAAGTTGTCTGCATATAAATCCTCGACAATTTCCTTATGGGCAGATACAGTTGCTACATTATTTCGTAAGATGTATCGAAATCTGACGGTCAACTTTCCTAAGAAGTAAAATCAAAAGAGGTGTAGAGGTAATTTAACATAACTGTCCTAACTAGTTATATTCTCGCTCAGTTTCTTACATAATTATGTAATCACTAATAAAGGCTATCATATGGTAGTAATTTGACTTGTGTCTATTTTGTCTATAGCATAGAGCGAGAAATTTCGTAGATCATTATCTCTCTGTGTGGACGTGTTCGGGTGTTGTAATGGATAGCGACTCAGAAGGAAAAATCATGAAGCCGAGGTCTAATTACCGTCGATTTCGTTCGTTCATTTACGCGCAAATACTCTTAAGGCGTCCATTTCTTCTCACCCAAATTACGGGTCAATTAGCAGGACACCGTGAGGTTCTACATCCTTGGCTGGTAACTAGTCTAGAGATCTTGACACAATCCAAACACTCATCCCTTATCAGCTCTCGGCCGATGATTCGGCTCGTTAAAACGAACGAAGAGTGACTGAGTGTCGAGTGTGAGTTACGCAATCTGCCGCAGGTGGAGAAAGCGTTTCTCATCGTCTCTCCGTGTAATGCTACTAGTGTTCGGTAGCCAGAATTATTTGTCTTGATTTCTGTTGTCTCACGGTCATTTTCATATTATGACACTTAGCAATATTATTTCGCGAGATGTCGCTCGAATATTGTCGGACGTTGTAAATCGTAAATTATGGTTTAATTTACAAAGTGAATGGTTTGGTTTGGTTTGGTTTGGTTTACGGCATATCACCCTCAATGGTTTATTTAATGCCAAAAAAATTTATTGCTGATAATTTTTTTTTTAATGTATTACTGGCATTAAAACCTATTTTTACACTTTCATAATGTTTTGACCCCAATTTGGAGGGTTAACTATTTTCCCATAGCTGGGACCATAACTGGTGCTACCACCCGGGTCAGGGTGGACCTGGGTGGACAGTAATTAAGAGGTGGTTATACGCTCCTCAAAATCTCCTGATCAGAGGCCTTTTGGCTGGGTGTATTTTATCGTTATACCCAGGACGCGGATGTAGGTTATCGTCATACCCAGGACGCCTCATTGGGGAGTTACCACTCTGCAGAAGTGTAGTCGGCGTATTTTGAACCCCCCACGCGACGGGGCGGTTTACAAAGGGGAAAACCAATATTTCAAGAACTGTATATATCAAATGCCACGTTGAAGAATGCGACCTGATCGTCTGTTACAAATTTGATCTTTAATCACAGACCAGTAACGCTCTCAGTCGGGAAAATTTCTTCTTCGATGTGACCTTTTCACACAAAACGTTGGCGATCATGGTCCGCCACAATTTCCTCTCCTTTATAGCTTTTAATGAATATTGTCTGATATTACATAACATTTTAGTACCTTTTTTCTTTACTCCTAACGAAATTTTCCTGTTTCGTAATACTTTGCTTATATTTTAGAAGGCATCTTCCACTATTGCAATGCGCCTTCGGATTCCAGTGTCACACTTTCAGATTTCTGTAAAAACATTTCCTAGATATTTAAACTGTGCTTTTTTATTTTGATATCTTCAATTTGAAATTTGCATGTCGGGTGTTCCTTTTGCTGACAACGAGGCTTTGTATTTTCTTTCAATTGATGATTAGTCCTTTCTTCTCAATTTCTTTCAATACCTTCTGTAGTATTTACATAGTTGTATTTTTAGATGGGTGTATCTCTAGACACAATGTTGAAGCGTTCCTGGGCTGTCACTAACCGTGCACCACAGTGAATTAATGTTGTCGCTTTTCCAGATTTTGAAATAAAGATGAAGTCTTTGCATACAACAACAGCGACTGAATAACGTTTCATTTACCGTTGTTGGTTATAAATTCACGAATGTAACTACTTTTTCCACGCATGACAACGGACTGAACTCCAATTGTTTAGATTTGGGGAATAATCTTTCCCAATTTCAGGACGGTTTTCACCAACATTTAAATTTCTGTACCGCATTGATTTCAACATATTCAAGTCATAGCTCACATCTTGAGCTGATTCTCTTGAAGTCAGCCAGGCATTCTGTCTTTACAATTGACAATGACATCTTGACAACTACGACGGAAGAATCAGATTCTAAAATGAGGTATTTAGGTCAATTTTTGTCAAATATGGACAACCAAAATAAGTTACGATGGAGTCAAACACCAATTGTCTCGCCTAGATTGACTCATAAAACTTCCGGTCATATCACATTGAAACACCGGTTCCCGTATGATTAATGGAGTTAAGCAACGTCGTGCCTGGTCAATACCTAGATGGGTGAACGCTTGGAGGTACCAGGTGCTGTAAGCTTGGATTTGTGGGAGGTGTAATAGATAATGGCTCGGAATTGTTAATCGGAAATATGAATATATGAAATATGAATCCACCTCTTCTCTCCCCAGCTATGGATTAATTAGTAAGATTTGTTTCACTGGATTAGTTACAACATCCGTTTTAAAGTGAGGAGCCCAAGCTCGTTGTAGATGGGCCAAGGTACTAAATAACCCAAATACCCTCTACCAACGTTGCGCTGGCATCGATATTTCACCCACCCGCCCTCTTTGATACAACAAGGGATGGACTGCTGCAGGACTGGAATCTCCGGGATCAGAAATCCCTCAGTTATTTGATCTGTTCTCTCCGAAAACAGAATTGAAAGATAAAATGTAGTTTATCTGCCCGAAATCAGATGGTATTTACTTGCCGCCCGACCATGCTAGGATATGAAAACCAGCTCAGTTTTAATGTGGGAAGACCGAGTACGTGCATCAGGGCCAGGTCCCAAATCAACCAAGCCGTCTGTTGGGCTGGTATCGGTATGAGTACCGATCGCCACTCTTTAGTGCAATGTAGAGGGAGGTGGCCACCTGTTCCACAAAACACGGAACCTCTCAATATTTTAGTTGCGATTTGTCCGAAGACAAAGACGCAATTGAATTGCGCTATATCCGAAGACAAAGACTCAACGGAGAGAGAAAAAGCACAGAGTGATCCAAAAGTCTTGTCACCCAGTACAAAAAAATTACGAGTATACAATAGAACAAGTGAAATCATATTTCACATTCTCCATGCTCTTGCCAAAATGCACACGTTCGTGTGTCCATGCACTTGGAAGTAATCTCTCTTCCAAACTGTCAACCATCTGAATAGAAAATTATATCATATAGGGGACACAAGACTTTCGGACCACCCTGTAGTTTGACCGCCCGAAAGGCAGATACTACAGTATATTGGCAGCATGCGACTCAAGGTCAATTTAAAGGGGGTGATTAGTCCGAGAGCGTGTACTTGGGCCAGGTTGAAAAAAATACCCAGCCCAGGCAAGAATTTTCAACCCAAAGGTCAAGTAAAAGTACTTTCTGTATAGTCGGTATTTAACTATGTTTCGACGTTGACAGGAAGGCCGCCAAAATACAATTACTGTATAAGATCCTGTATTTCACTGCTTATAAGACGCTCAGGTGTATTAGTCACCCTAAAGAAAAGATTTTATGAAGAAGAAATCGGATAAAAAGTATTTACTTGTAAATCATAGTCGTCCCAATTATCGCCATTTTTACCGACTGGATAGCATATTTCAGCATGAATACCTGATTAATCATGACAGACCGAGAAGATTGATCAACTGATTGATTTGTTTTTTACGGTTTACCAACCTTTTGGAGGTTATTTAAAACCAGAAAATATTTTCGGATTGTAAGGACTTTGGAGATAATAATGATTTTAGTGGTACAAGTCTTACTAATTAACCCATAGCAGGGGGAGAGAAGAGATGGATTCATACTTTTCCTATTGGAATTTGCGCGTATGTGAAGATAACGAATTGGAACTCGGCTCTCCAATTTCCAATTCCGACCCTCTATCTATTATACCACCCACACATCCAAACTTGCAACATCCGATATTCCAAAGCGGTCACCTATCTCGCTACTGACCAGGCTCTGCGTTGCTTAACTGATGATCGTACGATAACTGGTGTTTCAAGCTGTAAACAGATTGAAAAGAAGTACACAATTTAAGGTAATTATTAAATTAGAAGAGACGTTAGAGTGCATGATACGAAGGAAAATTAACCTTACAGCCTGAAATCCTGACCAATATAAAAAAAATTCACACTATTGTAGAGATAATCCTATTGTAGAGATAATCCTATAATATTCATTTCTCACTGACAGTGGAATACCATATTTTGATACATTATTTCCCTCCGTTATAAACAATGATAGAAGACCATCTTTATGAATTCCCGGTTTGAACTGAGGAAACAAGACCTTTGCTAACAGAGTAGCTGCTGCTTGCTCATCTCGAAATAGCGACGATCCAGGAACGCATCCGGATGCGTCGTTATCAGTGACGATAAACTTTTTCCAGCTTTTGGCTGGCTACTGTATTTGCTCCGCAATATTTGACACCGTTAAGTATTATATTTTAATCAAGTTAAAATACCCATCATTTACTATCGGGGGGGGGGGCCGTACAATTATTATAGTGTTATTCATCAAATGTCAGCCATAAACGTTGCTGTTTTATGACCAGCAATAAGCTAGGAAGGTCTGTGTTAGTTAAGCAGGTGTTACTGTATCAGGAATTCGTTTCCTCTCAATATCCCACGATCCCAACAGCATAAATCTCTACCCTCAAAATACTGTTATTTAATTTTGAAACAATGGGTTTGTTTTGCTTTCAAGGGTCCAGAATTCCATGCAACGGGGAGCTGAAGCTCGCACCACACCCCAAACTCATAACTCCCATCACCGAACTTCGATTTATAGGATGCAGGGTGTTTTTGAAGATGCTCTAAAGGGAAAAATACGCCTGATAAGCAGCAAAATATGGTAACTGAAAAATAATCATCTTAATTCCTGGAATGAGGAGACATCATTATTTACATTATTACAGTCAGAAAAATATCCTCATCTTTGCTGTTATTATCCGAAATTTTCAACCATTGTGACCTCAGGTCTTCTTCAAGTGTCTATTAATGCAAGTAACCTTCAGGGAATTTTGAAATGAAGTCTTTATTTAATCAACAAAGGATTAATTTAATCTTCATATTCCATGTTTAGAGATATGTCGTTTTTGCTCTCAACAAAAGCGTACTATACAGCAGTATTTTTCTTAAAGTGTCTACCATAAATAATGCTGCTTTGTAACCAGTAGTTTAAGAAATAAGCAGGGCCATAGCAGAAAGAAATGTTTTCCAAAAAGAATTTTAGAATTTAGCCTTAAGTTATCAATGGCCGACAATATTGTTAGCAGAAAGAGCATTACAAATTTCCAGTACCTCTAGACTGGCAGAAATCATCTTTGAAATAAGAGAGAACTGTCTGTCTTACAAATTCTTCCTTGCCTTGATAATTTTTTCTTGTATTCCTTTCTTTATTGTATTTTGTTAAAATAAAACCCTGTTAAAAATGCTACAATTGGTAAAAAATCTTTAACAAAATTTCTTACTGTAGCAGGAATTTCGTTTCCTTTCAATATCCCAGGATCCCAACTGCTTAAATATCTACTCTCGAAACCCCGTTATTTAATCTTGAACCACTGGACTTGTTTTGCTTTCAAGGGTTCAGAATACTAGGTAACTGGGAAGCTTATGCTTACCCCACATCCCAAAATCATAATTCCAGTCACCGAACTTTGATATATAGGACGCAGAATGTTTTTTAGAGATATTTTATAGGGAAAAATGCGTCTTATAAGCAGAAAAAGATATTAATAGGATGTGTCACAATTTTGCATTAAGGGAAAAAATTATCCAGGCCCTGCAACGGACACTGTGGTATTCATTAACACTCTTTATTTAATATAGTGGGGGAGGTGCTGCAGCCAGGTTTTAATCCCCAGGTTTAGAATTCCTTATTATAAAGCGGTTAAAATATGCAAAGGCAGAGTCACAAAAGAAAGGAAAAAAATAGAAAACAAACACTAACTTTTGATTCTAACTGGAAGGCTGACTCGAATCATCCGAACGTTTTACCGCTAAGCTAAACTTGCAAGTTATGACTGTTTTGTTTTTTATGGCTTATCAACCTTTTTTGGTTATTTAAAGCCATAAATATTTTTATATTATAAGAAATGTTTTGAAGATAATAAGGATTATATTGGTGTAATTCCTACGAATTAAATCCGTAGCTGGGTGGAAAAAGAGATGGATTCATGCCTTTCGTCGGGTATTTGCGCGTAACTGAATATAAAGAACTCGACTCTCCAATTTCCAATCCTAGACCTCACCCATTACACCACCCGCAAGCTTACACCACATTGTATTCCCAAAAGCTGACCAATCTAACTATTGACCAGGCTCGACGTTGCTTAACTTCTATAATGGTACGAGAACTGGAGTTTCAACGTAATATAGCCGTAAGCCTTGAGAGATAAGTAAACCATTTAGAATTAAATGTTATGGATTAAAAAAAAAGGACGTTAAATCTAACGTCATATCAAAGATTACGTATTTTTCATGACACTAAACTTAAAACTGGAGCCATGTTCTGAAAGAAATTTGTCAAAACGAGGCTTTCATATGAATACAATACAAGGCACCAAAGCAGTTCAGAAATAGTTAAACAGTGAGTTATATACAATCGCTTCCCAGGCAAAAGATTATACTTGTTTAAATATTGTAGACTGGCACTACAGATCTGCAAACATAAAACTGTACTAATGAACAGAAACCACAGCACTTGAGGACTACCAACAGAAGCAACAACTAAAAAGAATATCACATATTACACGAAGAGAAAATAATGACATAATGAAGATGTTGATATTCCACACTACTTCATATAAAAGGCTAGGACAGAAGCAGCCATCAATACTGGAATACTGGAAAGATCAATTAATAAATTCCTGACTTGAGAAAGCTGTTTTCCTGAAAAGTTGTTTTAAAAGAAAGATTTCATAAACTTCAATCGAAAGCTGTTGTAGATGTTCTGTCAATGAAAGACAAATGTTTCCTTATAGCGAGACGGCTATTATTAACATTAGCTTTTCCATCTTGCTTTAAATAGTTTTGTTAAAATCCAAGAGATGCCACTCAGTTCAGCCTTATCATTTTTATCTCATGTACAGGAAAGGGGATTTAATCTGTCATACCAAACGGCAGATTATCTTCTGACCTATTAGACTTCTTCTTCACTGCCTGCTTCACTCATGCTTCGAGAAATTTCTCCATGACGGTGGAAGGAGGAAAGAAGGATCATTAACATATTTCTAAATAATCGTTATTGCTTAGGAAATGAAAATTTGAATTTACTTAGCAGGATTACTTTCTCACAAAAAGAAATAAAATACACGTCCAAAATA